AATCTGGATTTCAGCCACGCATGGTTATCAAGTAGAGTGTATTGATTCTTTCAGCCTGGTCACTGACGATTTCTAAAAAGTCCAGCAAAGAATACATATGGGCTTGGCTGTCAAGGCATGGGACATGTCTCTAGAAATGTGTGTGAGAAAGTGGGACCACGAGTGTGAGGCAAAAAAAAAGTCCCTTGAAGGGTTCTGAGATATCTTGCTCTGCAAGAGTTTGGAATTGACAATTTATCTCGGACATGGATGCCTATAGTACAGTGAAAATTATAAAAGTATGAACTTAAAAAAAAGCAAAGCATGTAAACGGTGATGCAGACAACGCACCATATCGGCAGCGAAGGTTTTTCCCGCTATCAAAAACATCGTCAAAGAGTTTCTCCGTGGATGAGCCATGGTCCCCAACTCGGAGCTCTGCATCGAGGACCTCCTCCACGCGAGGGCCTCTTCAAGGGCAACACGGCAGGGCGGCTCTCCTGAGAAGACGCCCCCATCGCCCCCGTTGAGAGTCGCGGAGAGGAACTCTTTGGACAGTAGCCCCAGGCGTACGCAGCGGAGCAGACGCGGGAGGTGAGGTCTGCACAGGGCGGGGACAGTGTGCCAGTCATCACACTTAACCAGGATCCTGCCCATTCCTGCCTGAGCACATCAAACCCCAATGGGGTAACACATTAAGCTTGCTCAGCCTTGCCCAGATAGTCTATGTAGGCTTCGCGGGGGATCTTTATCTTTGTTAGTAGGTGTTCACAAACAAAACGTGCTCTACAGTCTATAGACTGAACGTGTACATGTGTGTACAGGGCGGAGGAGCGACGCTCACACCAACGAGCGGAGCGCCGGGTGGCTAAAGCACAGCAAGTTGGTACAGTAGGGGGCACAGGTGGTGCATCAGCCAGTCGTCTCGGTCATCGCGGTCAGTCGACCCGTGGGACCTGCTGGGTCTGCCCCGTGACCTTCTGCCAGTGGGCGTTCGACACTTCACGTGGCCTCAAGGTGCACATGGCCTGGCACAAGCGTCGTGGTAACGTCACCGCCACTTAGTGGCGAATGGCGGTTGTTGTTGTACATGTGTGTGTATGTATTTATGTAGGGGGGGGCAGTAGTAGTGGGGAGCGGTAGTGTAGTGGTTAGCGCGCTGCGCTATAAACCTGACGACCTGGGTTCGATTCCCGCTCATGGCCAACACCAGCGACGATTATCTGAATCAATCCTGGGCCATCCTTCAAATGAGTACCTGGTGCGGTGTGTAAACATCGCCACTAGGGAGACAAAAGCGGCCGGGCGTGGTGCTGGCCACCCACCCACCCAACCCCTGGTGTGCCGTGCCGGCCTTCATAGGTGCTCGCTAACAGCACTTGCCCCAACAGTCTGTTTAGGCTACACATAGGTGGGGAGGATCTGTGTCTTTGTACGTCCGTACCTGCGTGCATCTCCGTCGTGTTGGGCCCAGCGAGCGAGGGCCTGCATGACGTGCGTCTCCTCCGTGGCCTCCAGCTCGTCGCTCGACAGGAGCTCGGCGATGACGTCCGCCGACAGGAGCGGGAATTGGTGGTCCTGGCACGCTTGCTCAAAACTACGCGCCCAGCGCGCGTGCGGCAGGAGGAAGCCAAGCGATTTAGCAGTCGGTTTGACACGGAGGCTTTCGCGACCATTGTTATTCATAATAAAGGTAATTTTGATTAGATCGTGTTAAATGTGTCGTTAACCCGGCGTGTCTTTGTTACCAACAAAGGGGGCCGGATGGCCAGGGTGACACGCCACTTTGGGCCTACCGTGTTCAACTACTACAGCAGCATGACTGCAAGAAAAATAGCCCTCAGGTTTATAACACAACACTCGATTCCTGATCTGGGTTGTGAATCCTCCAGCTTCCAGCCTGCCACGATAAACCAGGGACAGCACAAGGCTCAGCTACGAAACATTTTGAAAGCCGACGCTGCAACTACCGCTGGAGCGATGTGCGGCGCAAGTGTCACGCCTGTGCCACAGCTGCCTCCCGTTATAATCGCAGCTAATCAAACGCAGCCAAAGGCTAGAAAGGAGAATCCGTCGCGCCCTCTCCCCTTGCCTTTCCAGGCAGGCTTGCAGCGCCAGAGTGCGCAGACGGGCGCAGGCGTGAGAGTCGGCGAGCGCCAGCAGGTCGAGGCAGGAGTCGGGCGAGATGCAGCGGCACAGGAAGGCGGCGCAGGCCTCGCGCACGTCGTCGAACTGCAGCATGTCGGCGGCGACCAGCAGCTGAGCGGCGCTCTCCTCCGCCAGCTCAACGCGCCCAGTGTACGCGAAGCCCACCAGTTGCTCCAGCACCTGCATCCCGCACGCGGCCGGAGAGTGTCCGCCAAGGGGAAAAAAATTTACTAACAACAAAGCTCAGTAACATCAAAACATGGCTACAATTAACAACAGCACAAACTCTACACGCCGTGCTAGACCTGGGACCAATATCATCGTGAAGTCGCACACGCCGTTAGGCAGCACTAAAAAAGAAGAAGAACAAAGCGCCGCGTTTTTTTTGGGGAGTGGGGGGGGTAACCCTCGTGGTGGACTTGCTTCACATGCTCAGCGTCACTCTGTAATCGCATTTTTTCCGTGTTAAGGAATAACACGAACGCAACAGAACTGTCCATATTACCGTATTAAATAGTGGTCTAGTCGAGAGATTCCCCTCTGCCAGGTATGTTTCAAGTCAATCTTTCACAGCCAACTTCATTCCACCTTCTGGAACGCTCAACCGGCTGGGGGAAGAAGCAATTCGTTTGATAAGGAGTGGGGGTAGAGGGGGGGTGGGAGGTGCAGAGTGAGGGGCACCTGTGGATCCACGCTGTCTCCGAGGTCCACGTGCGCTTGTCGGCTCTCGCGCAGTCCCCCCGAGAACATCGCGGCAAAGTAGGGACTGCAAGCGGCCAGGACGAGACGATGGCAGCTCAGCTCGTGGACTCCACCTGGGACGCCACCGAGGGGAAACAGTCGCAATGTGCAATGCGTGTACTGTGCGTTGAACTTTTTTCGCGCCGTACGTAGCCAACCGTGCGAAATCGGAGGCGTGGGGGCGAAGGACAACAATGCCTCGTGGAATATCTCATGCAGAGCTAGAATACGCGATCACCAGGACGTCTTTGGCCGCTGCAGTGAAACTCCCCTTGTGGTGGTGGATGTTGGTGTGTGGGGGGATTGATCAACTGGTGAGTACTAGGAATGTGTTCCAAATGTTTGGATTGATCTCAGAATTCAGCCTAGGATACGAAATTTGACGATCCAAAAACATGACATCGCCAGAAGTGTATCCACTTTCATGCTGTCACTTTCCTGCTTTTCTGCCAAAAGCGATGTGACATGGCATCGCTTGACTGAACAAAGACATTTTAAATTTACATGCAATGTAAACGATCTGAAACGCCCCAAAAAGATCTTAAATTGCCCTTAAACATGCGGTACGTAATGTGGCTGCAACAATGTATAGATTCATTTATTAATATTGATATTATGCTCATGATACATGCTTATCATCAGCATAACCCAGTTCACTCTTGCAAATGAGACTCTCTCCCGGTCTCTTGAGTTTTAAGCTGGTTAAACAAAATCCTCTTGAACTTGAGAAAAATGTCAATTCCACAGTACGTAATATGGCTGCAACAATGTATAGATTAATTTATTAATATTGATATTATGCTCATGATACATGCTTATCATCAGCATAACCCAGCTCACTCTTGCGAATTAGACTCTCTCCCAGTCTCTTGAGTTCTAAGCTGGTTAAACAAAATCCTCTTAATCTTGAGAATGAGGTCAATTCGATCTCATTCTGGGGAAGAAGCAATTCGTTTGCACCTCCGTCGTTTGCTGTCCTCAAGACGACGTCGAGAAGGGCGCTGGATCGTCGCAGCTCATTGAGGCCGGCCATCAGCACGTCGCTGTGCCCGCTGCGCTGGTACACCTCCTTGCCCACCGACCCTGCTGCTGCTGCTCGTAGCCACCCTCAGCGAGTTCTCAGCTTTCAACATCCCGCTCGGCTCTGCAACACCCAGGGAGACGCACATCCATATTGACGGACTGTCCATACGGACGCACACACCTGAACTTTACAACCAGGCAAAAGTCTCTTGCAAGCAAGCGAGATCTCGGGTGTGAAACTAAGAACACGCAGTCCTGGGATATTTCAGCGCAGGAAAATGGATAATGCAAGTATGCATGTTCAACTTCTTTCACGCCGTACGTAGCCAACCGTGATAATCGGAGGTGCAGGTAAGGACAACAAACTAAACACAAAAAGCAGTTCTGAAAAAAAATAGTTTCAATCTCCATTTAAAAGTGATTAGCTCCAGTGGATTATTAATATTTCAAGGAAGGGCGTTTCAGACGACCGGAGAGGTGCATTTGAAAGCACAGTCGTAACAAAGAAAATAATGCGCAAGCATTGATTGCATAAAGCTTTCAAACATGCCTTAGTAGTTGGAGTATTAAAAACAATGATGAATGCATATTTATACCTGCTGTGATGTGAATATAAAAACATGGTTAAGAAAATGGAAAGCGTGCGAAGAAACTGTTCGAAACAGGATGGAGAGGTGCACATTTGCAATTACATTGATTAGAGACCATATGCAAGCTAGAGACGTAATTTGATATGCAGGCTTCAGTGGACAGAGCAGTGGATACATCAGGCTAAGTTCCTAACGGCAACGTTATACCGACAAAGATCTGCAATCCTCTACATATAAAGGTGTTATCGGACAATCAATGAGCGTTTCCACGTGGCAGGCAACCGGAGTACTATAAGAAAATCCCCGCGTGCGAGGGCGAAACACTCGATCCCAGCCAGATGGAACAGATGGGAGATGCATTTTTTTTCTCCACGCGTGTTATTTGCCGTCTTCGTGTGCGAGCCAGGGTTATGGCTCCTCCTAGAGCAGCGCCCTTCACTGATTTTCAGAGGAGAGTGTCGAAACCATTGGGGCTTTGACAGCCATGATCGATGTGGAGTGGGGGGGGTGTTTTCCCACTTGTTGTGTATTTTTCGATGTAAAGCTTTCGTGACTGCAGGGATTCATCTTCTTGGTTCTTTCGGTAAAGTCACGTAGAAGGGAAGTAATAAAATAATAAAATAAAACATAATAAAATAAAATTATTTTATTTTGTAAAATAATAAAACGTAATAAAATAAAATTATTTTATTACGTTTTATTTTTATTATTTTATTACTTCCCTTCTACGTGACTTTACCGAAGGAACCAAGAAGTTGTTGTGTATTGTTGGTGGGGGGCCCGGACGTCAGGGGCTTCACACTAAAGGCCACACAGGGTCGATCAGTGCCTCTTCTTCCTCCTCCTTCGACCGCTGCGAAGAAGAAACAACGTGGACTTCGAGACGTCGTCCCACGGCGGAACAAGATCACGGTCGCTCACAACGCAACGCCATCGTCAAGTTGAGCGTCGCAACAATCGAAGCGCGTCGTTGACTGCTGCTGCTGTTGCTGCCTTCCATAGCCGTCGCTGGTTGGGTCAAGAAGAGGCATCTGCGAGTAGAGACGACGCCTCCACCACCAACAACAACCAACACCACCAACCACCACCACCAACAACAACAACCACCACCACGAAAAAAAAACCCACCCGCGCAGCAAACGAGCGGGGAATTGCATCTTAAAAAACACGAACGCCGACCACACTTGAGGTGAGCGACTGAGAGAGACATTCGACATTGCGATCAGATATTTAAATGTTTAAAAAATAGTGGGACGGTGGTGAATGTATCGTAGCGTCGTCAACAACAACAACAACAACCATCGCGTTTGTTGTTGTTGTTGTGGTGCCGTTACAGCGGCACGTGATGCGTAAGCAATTAAAACGAGCGTCTTCAGGTTGTGTCGTTGCATTTACGCACTGCTTATATAGAGTACTGCTTAGAACAGTACTTTATATAGCGGTTATCGATTATTTAAAAAGTGTAAATGTTTTAAAAAATGCGTTTGATTTTCGCGTCGAGGCTTTCACATTTCCTAGTTCGCTTAAGGCGAGGCGCCGACCCTGCTTGCGCGCGATTGGTCGGCGCTGCCAACGTTGCAGATTTTGAGCCAATCACGAGCGCCGCTTTCGCCCCTCGCGCGCCCTCCAACCAATGGGTGGCGAGTGCCTGGCCGCGTCCGCCCGTGCGAACTGGGAAATGTAAACGGGTGGCTGCACCCGCTTAAAACAATTAATAATAGCGGAAATAATAAAAATTAATATTAATTCGAGTTTAAACATTAACAGCGACAATAACTACCGCTCAAAAAGAAACTATTTTACTGAATGGCACGCGTGACGGATTATTGCGGTCAACGAGTGAGCCGTGACACGGCCACAGTAACGAGGGGACGCGGCGTGGAGTGACAATTGAAACCTCTCCACCGACTTAAACAAACACCTTATCTTCGCTTATATTAGCCACAAACTGCGTTGGTTAAAGCAAACTTTACCTCGTTACCTCGTCGTCGATTGTCAACGTGGGGGTAATTTGAGTGGCCCGACGTGGAGAAAGACGTCGTCACAAACTCTGCTGCCAAATGTCGTCGCGGTGGTGATGGTGGTGGTGGTGATGATGATGGTGGTGGTGGTGATGATGATGGTGGTGGTGATGGTGGTGGTGATGATGGTGGTGGTGATGATGATGGTGGTGATGGTGGTGATGATGATGGTGGTGATGATGGTGGTGGTGGTGATGATGGTGGTGATGATGATGGTGGTGATGATGATGGTGGTGGTGGTGATGATGGTGGTGGTGGTGATGGTGGTGATGATGGTGATGGTGGTGATGATGGTGGTGATGATGATGGTGGTGGTGATGATGATGATGGTGGTGATGATGGTGGTGGTGATGATGGTGGTGGTGATGATGGTGATGATGATGATGGTGGTGATGATGGTGGTGGTGATGGTGGTGGTCATGATGATGGTGATGATGATGGTGGTGATGATGGTGGTGGTGATGGTGATGATGATGATGGTGGTGATGATGATGGTGGTGGTGATGATGATGATGGTGGTGATGATGGTGGTGGTGGTGATGGTGGTGGTGATGATGATGGTGGTGGTGATGGTGGTGATGATGGTGGTGGTGATGATGATGATGATGGTGGTGGTGATGATGGTGGTGGTGGTGATGATGGTGATGATGGTGGTGGTGATGATGATGGTGATGGATCAGCCGCTCCCACCACCACCACCTCCTCCTCCTCATCCCTTCAGGGAATGCTCCGATGATGATTTATAGAATCCGGGGTGGCTCATTGCACAACATTGCACCAGTCGGTTGACAGGCGTGGGGAAGTATGGTCGCGTCAAATTTTTATTTAAAGCTTTCGTGACTGCACGGATTCATATTCTTGTTTTTTTTGGTAAAGTCACGTAGAAGGGAAATACAAAAATATTAAACATTATTATTTCCCTTCTACGTGACTTTACCGAAAGAACCAAGAATATGGTCGCGTCGGTTACAGTTGAGGCCCTCAATGGGGCTTGCTGCATGTACCTACGCCTAATCGATACACTGGGGATTATTCCAGCATGGATATTTGAAATAATTGCATCAGGTTTAATGTAATAAAATATCCACGCATTATGTTTTTTTCTCCCCTATCCCCCCCCTCCTCCTTTCCCCACCACCAAATAATATTTATAACTTTTTTGGTTTATTTTCGAGAAGACAACCTCCTCCTGACTGAGCCAGGAGTGCGTAGAGAGAGGGCTGTCAATCCTCTACGTTGAGAATGTTATTCATTTCGATTTAAAGCTTTCGTGACTGCAGGGATTCATATTCTTGGTTCTTTCGGTAAAGTCACGCAGAAGGGAAATAATCCAAATTATACAATCAAATTATCACGACGTTTCGATTGCAACACAAGCAATCATCATCAGGTGTGAAAACCACAGCAAGAAAATTTGAAACCGCCACTTTCTTCAAAATTTATTGCTGTAGTTTTCACACCTGATGATGATTGCTGGTGTTGCAATCGAAACATCGTGAGAATTTTATTGTTTTATTTTTTATTATTTCCTTTCTCCGTGACTCTACCGAAAGAACCAAGAAAATGTTATTCATGGTGAGTGGGAACTCAAGCCCTGTCGCATGGTTACGCTATCAATCATAGTCTGTCTAAAAGCAGAATGTTTAATCTTAAAATGGCAGAGAGGGCAGATTCCGTCTGCTCTGCGTGTGACCTTTAGTACAGCACTGGCGGTCATCGACTTAGGAAGGGGTTCCGTTCCTGAGACCCCGGTCGTAAGTCGGAACACAGTACAGAGACTCTTCTACTTATGAACATTCGACTTACGCACTTTCAGAGATACAAACAAACCTGTCCCCGTTTGTCCAGTTGCCTGTTTGGAACAAGAGTCGTAAGTTCAACTGCTGCGGCGGTGACATTTACATCTACAAAAGATGAAGAACCAGTTCCATCTACTCTGCAGAACGTGAAGAACCAGTTGCATCTACAGAACATTAAGACTCACTGTCATCTACAGAACATGAGGAACCAGTTGCATCTGCAGAACATGAAAAACCAGTTGCACCTACTCTGCAGAACGTGAAAAAACAGTGGCATCGACATTTACAGAACATGAAGAACCAGTGGCATCTACATTTGCAGAACATGAAGAACCAGTGACATCTACAAAACATTAAGAACCAGTGTCATCTACAGAACATTAAGAACCAGTTGCATCTACTCTACAGAACATGAAGAACCAGTGTCATCTACATCAGCAAAACGTGAAGAACCAGTGTCATCTACATCTGCAGAACATGAAGAACCGGTGGCATCTCCATCTGCAGAACATGAAGAACCAGTGTCATCTACATCTGCAGAACATGAAGGAGATTATACAACCTTTAAAGTCATTCCCCGTGTTTGGTGTACATGCCCTACGTCATATTTGGAATCCACAGGGGTATAATTCGACTTACGAACAGACCTCTGGAACCTAACTCGTTCGTCAGTAGAGGAGCCCCTGTACTCTAGTGAACTGTAGTTAAATGCACATATGGTCACTGTTATAATATGTGTTGCGGTTCAATGAAAAAAACATGGAAGCATGTTTTGTTTGCATTTGACTGCAAGTATTGTGGTTAATGTAAGCATGATTCCTTGCAAAAGGTGTCAGTTTTGTTGCCAGAAAAAAGGGGAAAACCCCTATTAGTACATGGAAGCATTGTTTAACTCATAAATAAGAATAAATATTGTACATTTGCATGTAATGCTGTAATAAATTCTGTACAGTAAATGAAACATAAAATAAAGTAACATGAATTGATAATTTTTGTTTTAATCATTTACCCAGAGTCCTGATACTGGCTTGCTTTTTTAAATCCTTTTTATTAAGTTCACTTGCTTGCTTGCTTGTGCGCTTACGACCGTGCAAATCTTTCGGTCGTTTTTTAACCCACTTCCCGTGATCCAATCGAGCTGACATTTTGCACACAGACTCGTTGTGTGTGACAATTTATTTTCGTGAAAAAAAATCCCCAAATTTTCCACTTTTTAGGATTTTTTTTTTATATTTAATTACCAATTGCTTAATGGTGGCAGGCAATCATCTGACCCATAGGTGGCAGCCATCTCAAGCCAGAGGAAGAGAGGATTCTAGCCGCCCGTTTCAAAGACCAATGTGGGCTGGGTTGTGGCCCATTGAACACGCATATAAAGGATTTATAGTGAAAAACTTTGTTTTTACGGGTTAATTTTTTACTTTTCAGAAAGGGTGCAATTAGTCCCCACAATTGCACACACACACACGGGGGCACGTGTCCACACACACAGACACACACACAGACACAAGCACTCGATTCAACCTACTTCGGTGGCATGAGACTGAGTCGGACCTTCAGCCAGGATGTTAATTCTCAACTTTCACAACCACGCATTCTAACCGCGGTGCTACCAGCCTGCAAAAGCAACACTGGGATGCCTCACGTACTAATAGACAGTATATAGTGCATTAGCTCTTTAGCCAATATTTGCATTTTAACGCTGAGTGTCATTGATAGTTTTCCTACAGCAAACAACACAGTCTATTGATTCTGGTGGAAGGCCATTGATATATGGGCAAGCCAAACCTGTCATCGAGCACTGGGGTGGTGCTGGTGGTTTACTGGTGCTCTGCACAGAGGGTTTCATTCTACACCAATAGAAAAAACAACAACATTCGTCAATAACACTCCTTCCCACCTCCAAAAGGCTAAATGTAGAATGGGTCACAATATGAGCAATGGCCCATTTTCAGCACATGACCATGAGTCAGAGGTGTGGACTCGAGTCATGTGACTTGGACTCGAGTCAGACTCGAGTCATGAATTTGATGACTTCAGACTCGACTTGGACTTGCATAACAATGACTTTGTCTCACCTCTGAGGTGTGGACTCGAGTCATGTGACTTGGACTCGAGTCAGACTTGAGTCATGAATTTGATGACTTCAGACTCGACTTGGACTTGCATAACAATGACTTTGTCCCACCTCTGCCATGAGCCATTGCCCGAAACGTCGTGCATGTATTTTATGTATTTAGTTGAATGTATATTCGTTTATTTATGGCAGCGTTGTTGACGAATATGTTGAGTTTTGTTTTTGCAATTGGTGTCTAATGAAGTACTGTACCTGTGCACCATTTGCCAACGCAGCAGTGTCACCAAATAATGTTTAATCATTAGGCACATTTACGATTGGTTACAGGTTAGCCAAGTGGTGAACTATTTTAAACGGAACTCTATTTTATTTTACCAAGTAAGGCCCACTGAGTTATATAGCACTTTTTTTCCAGAAGCGACCTGGCCACAAATGATTACTCAATGAAGTGGCTTATCATTTGGAAATGTATAGCAGCCAGATACTCCTAACGCATGTTTACAAATGTGTAGGGAGAACATGCAAACTCAGTGTACAGCAGCAGGCGTCAGGGTCGGGATTGAACCCACGACCTCCTGCATACCAGGCGAGGGAGTAAACATCACCACGGCGCCAAGTACAAGCAAATTTAAGTCCTATGTACATCGATTTTAAGCACTGTTTTAGCTTCCTTCCACACACACACACAATATGGACTCAAACATCCAGTCAGGTCAAAAGGTCATAGTAGTTAATACTTTGAATGCCTAAACCCCTCATCACTTTATTTAGTGAGATCCCGTATTTTTTGCAGTCGGGTTTCCATGGTGGCGAGATGTTAACTACCTCCTGGTATGCAAGAGGTCGTGGGTTAAATTCCGACCCTGATGCCGACTGTATATTTTCAGTTTGCATGTTCTCCCCGTGGTCGCGTCGATTTTTCTCCGGGTCCGTGTTCAGAGTTTTTGGCTGCTGCTTTAAATTTCCGAACACGAAGGAAGAAAAAAACCCAAGAAAATAATCCCGTTGATTCTGTAAAAATGACACAAAACAGAATAGATTTTTTTAACAGAGCTACGGCCCTGAAATGTATGGAATTTCTGCAGTAATTTCTCTATCCGCCTCTAATATGTGGTGGCGGTGGCAGTTGTATCCAAGAGTGACACAAAGGCCTGTACACAAAAGACTCACCCGTTGTGCATTATGCAAAAACGCTCCTAAAGAAATGCATTGCGGTCACCTTTTGTTAATTTTATTTAATTTTATCAATTTTATTTTACTTATCAAAATAAAATTTAGTAAATGTGACCGACTGACAGCAGCAGGAGTGATACAGAGATGGACAACTGTAGACCGGTTTTGTTCTTATTTTGACTCATCCGTATCATATAGTCACCAATACTCACTGCTGCAAAGTCTGCCTCTGAGAAGCATATCCACTTGGCATGGTTTTCCAGAGGCATACTTTGTCGCTCAAATTTGTTTTGATAGTGACATCAGACAAGGGGACCACAATGCAGTTCTTTAGGAACTGCTGATGTTTTTTTTTTGCATAATGCACAAAGCCCTGTGCGCTTTCTGTACAATGTTACTGTGTGCTGTTTAAATCTTATGGTTTTTCCTGCGCCGTGCTGTTTTTCCCATTATGATGGCTATCTCTCATTACTTCCACAGATATGTTTCAAGCATTGCATGGTGAACACATCTGCAATGCATTACGGAATGCTGCAGAATAATCTCATTTACTAAGTGCGAAATATGGCACAAACAAGGTTATGTGCTCATTGCACAACATGCATTGAAAAAGAGACCACCCCCGGTTGTAAATTAGGGTGAAAGAACAAAGTCACTGAAGCTTGCAATCTTCACTGTACAGTCAGTGCTCGGCAGTGTTTCGCCTGCTCCGCCAGTTGTCCGCTAAGCATGCGACCGTCTGTTCCGCGAGTTGTCAGCTAATCGTGTGAATCCGTCTCTTGTATTCATAGCTGTAAGTCTTGTTTTACTGGCTTCATGTGGAGGCACGTGGTGTCCTCGAGTGACTTTTTAACCGTGCTTGCGTCAGCAATGGAGATTGCAAAAAGCTTTCCTTAAAAACTCTACGGGAGCCGCCCGTCTTGTTGATTGCCATCTTAAGCTACTCGTGGGGTGGTGCAAGCAGTTTCGCTCTGCTCAGTGCGTTTCCGCCTTCGAAGGGGGCATTTTAAACGTTTGTGCGGTTTAAACGTTCGTTTTTTTTTGCTTGCCGATTTAAAAAAAATGGATTTTCTGTTCAAGTTTTTTTCAGGTGGGGAGAATTCGTCCGCCATGCCCCCGTCGCCGCCTGCGTCGTCCCAAGGGACATCGGGACCTGCGGCTCTGCACTTGACCGTCAATGGGAAGGACTACACAGGTCAGTTGACTTCACAAGCACGAACTCCGTTTTTAGTTTGGATCCTTCATCAGCCAACGCCGCACACGTGCTCATGCAGTGCAGCGTTTCCGTCTCGAGCCGAGGTCAAATCTCAACCTTTCTTCCCCCGCATTCGTTCCCGCACTGCGGTCGTAGCTGCCTGAATGGCGAAAACACCCGGACGCAAACGGTCTGCTATTTGCAGGAGGCAGTACATTCCCCGGTTAAGCTGTGGTAAAGTAACCGCTTAAACGACTACGTTGCATTTAATATTCAAGAAAACACGGCAGAATTTCTTGCAAACCGGTAGAAGATAAATGTTTCCTGCATAGTTTTTACTTGGTTGAGAAAACTAACAGCAGTATCTCCCCCTACTTGCAGACTAATGTCCACTTGCAGACTGGTGCTGTGTACACCTTATGGCAGCACAGCAGGGATGGCTGCCACTGGAGGTGCCCTGGGCTAAACTGCAGCAGAGCATCGGAATTGGTTGGGATGAGAATCAGAATCTTCATTTAGACTGGAGGAATCCGATGAGCCATGGAGCTCTTTTTTACAGATGTTCAGGAAGGGCGGGTCAGCAAGTTATGACAACAAACAATATAAAAACATGCAAATTATATAAGTACATAAATTCCTGTAGATTTTTCAAGACCAAATGCAGGCTAGGGGAAGGCAGCAAAACAACAACAAAAGCAGTGCCAGACCACACCAAGGCAACTGACAGTCCTTCAATTAAAATGCACATTAAAATTGAACTCTCGTGATGAGGTATGATGTAAGGTGCCGCTTGAGTTTCAAAGGCATTTAAGCAAATACAATATACAGTACAGTGTTCCCTCGTTATTCGCGAAGGATACGTTCCGAAGATGCTCGTGAACATCAAATTTTGTGGATAATGATATTGCCCCACAAATATCGTACACACAACGTCTGCAGATGCCTTTGAAAGCTTCGAGAAGTTCTCTCCCTCTCTCTCTATCCCTCTCATTACTTTATCTCATAACTTTTTCGCATCACATTTTCTCTCATCGCTTTATCTCTTCACTTTCCTTCTCTCTTTCTCAATGCAGCCGTGTAGAGTTCCAGATGCGATTCGCGGATAGCCAAAATCGCGGATAGAAAGTTGCATGGATTTATGTACTGTATGTTGAACTTCTTTCGCACCGTGCGTTGCGAATCGTGCTAATCAGAGGTGCAGGGAAGGACAACAAACTAAACACAAAAATCAGTTCTTAAGAAATTAATTTTCCATATAGATTTAAAAGTGTATAGCTTCAGTGGCTTCCTGATATCGGACGGAAGAGCCTTTCTGGATGGCCGCAGAAGCGCATCTGAAGGCGCGCGGTGCGGTGGCCACCTCTGTAAATAACGGGGGAATCCTGCACAGTGTCATGCAAATCCTCATCCTTGCCTTGCAGTGGAAAACCCGGACCCGCGCACTACGCTGAGCGAGTTCCTGCGCGGAACGCTGCGTTTGAGCGGCACCAAGGTGATGTGCCATGAAGGAGGCTGCGGCTGCTGCGTCGTCACCGTGCAGTACGCGGATCCCCTGCAGCCTGACAAAGTGCTCACCGAGTCCATCAATTCCGTACGTATGTACTGTATTTATGTGGAACCTCTTTTGCACAGTACTTAGCCAACCGCGCGCATCGAAGGTGCGGAGGACGGATAACAATCTCAACATATTCGTGGTTCTTTCGGTAAAGTCACATAGAAGGGAAATAATAAAATAATAAAAATATTAAACAATAAAAATTCTCACGACGTTTCGACTGCAACACAAGCAATCATCATCAGGTGTGAAATCCACAGCAAGAGCATTTTCCACAGCAAGAACATGTTCTTGCTGTGGATTTCACACCTGATGATGATTGCTTGTGTTGCAGTCGAAACGTCGTGATAATTTTTATTGTTTTATTTTTTTATTATTGTATTATTTCCCTTCTACGTGACTTTACCGAAAGAACCAAGAATATGAATCCCTGCAGTCACGAAAGCTTTAAATCAAAAAATCTCAACGTAAAAAGCAGTTTTATAGAAATACGTTTTCAATCCGGATTTTAAAAGTGCAGCGCAACCAATGGCTTCCTGATATCGGATGGAAGAGTGTTCCAGACGGCCGTGGAAGGGCATCGGAAAGCGCGCGATGCGGTGACCGTCTTTGTTCGATGGCTAGCCAAAAGCCGCTGCGGCTGCTGCGAGGATGACCGGAGTTCGCTTGACGGTTTATGGTCCTCCATGAGATCAGCAAGGTATTTGTCCTTCATCTGTGGCAAGCGCTTTGAGTGCACGCCTCGCACGGACCCACTCGCTCGCCCTACTCACTCGCTGCCTATCTCTGCGCGTGTTGAAGCCATTCATGGTCTGAACCCGGCGGCTGCCCTGGTTAATACTCCATCTGTATTAGCCACGAAATACACGTCGACTGCTTCACGGTGGCCGTTAAACATCCCGTCGCGTTAGTCGAAAAGAGCAGGCTAACACCGGTGGTGATGTTTTCACCACGCAGTGCTATGAAACTCGTCACCTGAGTTTGATTCCCGGCTGCTGTCTTCCCCATGCAGTGCCTGGCGCCACTGTGCTCCCTGGACGGGCATCACGTGATCACTGTGGAGGGCGTTGGGGTGGTGCGTGGTGCGCGCGGCCTTCACCCCGTGCAGCAGAGGCTGGTGGAACACCATGGGATTCAGTGTGGCTACTGCAGCCCCGGCTTCGTCATGCAGATGTACAGGTGAGGCTCCCGCACCGAGCGCTCGTGCATTGGAGTCAACTGAATGAAACAATTGATCACACTTAAAACACGTAGGTTTTGAGAGCCAATGTTATGATTTGTTAAAAAAAGACAAACTGTAAGGCACATTCTCTACCAAATACAGGCAATCCTCTAATTACGATGGAGATGCGTTACGACGACCTCATCGTAAGTCGAAAATATCGTAAGTCGAAGATGGCCTAGCCTACCCAGGAGTCTTAAAGAATGGTGATAATTTAGCAAAACAGAGCCATTTACACTACCGTACTGCATAAACTATATACTCTATGTATTTATTAATTACAATACTGTATTGCACAGTAAAATTAAAAGTAAAAAAAACAAGGTAAATTCTTAGCCTGCCTATATGAACTGCAATTGAATAGAACGTTTTTTCAGGAAACAATCCTATCTGCTATAAAAACTTTTAACATGCATTGAACGTTTCGTATCGTGGTAACCCTAAAATGAAATCGCTAAAGCTACGTATCATACGTGCATTGAACGTATCGTAACGTATCATATTGTACTGTACTCACCAAGATTATTTTACAATTTTGTCATATCGCTATCGCCATCGTGAGATCGAAATATCGTAAGTCGGACCATCGTAACTCGGGGACTACTTGTACAGCAAAACAAAATAATTGATCACGTATACAAGTGTTTAACACGCCAATTATTATTATGAGTTAAAGAATAATATGCACAATCACATTTATCGATTGGATACAACATTTTGCTTGCAACTACATCAATCATCATCAGGACAAGATTTAGGAATTCAGAATGTTCTGTCTAATGGATGAATATTGTTACGAGAATTATCGCCTGCTTCGTAAAGTGAACTAACGTCGATATTAGCGCTCACAAAAAACAAATATAAACACCCCCTTATAGCCTTAAACAGACTGTTGAGGCAAGTGTTGTTAGCGAGCACCTATGAAAGCTGGCACGGCACTCGAGGGGGTGGGTGGCCATCACCACGCCCGGCCGCCTTTGTCTCCCAAGTGGCAATGTTTAAACACCACACAAGGTACTAATTTGAGGCTGAGTCGATCTAGGGGAGGCCCAGGACTGGTTCAGATAATCGTCACTAGTGTTAGCCGTGAGCGTGTTATCGAACTAACTCGGGTCGCCAAGTTCATCGCGCAGCACGCAAACCGGTACACTACCCCTCCCCACTCACGCGCACACACGCACGCACGCATCCCCGTACACACACACACTCAAGCTGGCTGTGTCCCGTCTCCTCCGTGTCATGAACCCATAGTCTGCTCGCCAGCAATCCGACCCCCAGTCAGCAGGAGGTGGAGGACGTGTTTGATGGGAACATTTGTCGCTGCACAGGTTAGTGTGCGTGCATTGTGCATCCAATGTCTAGGCCTGATTTTCAAAACAAATAAAAGAGTGTCATGCAATTTTATATTATTGCCCACAAACCACACTAGTATCACTGGGAGAAAGTACTGCTGGGTGCCACGGTGGCGAGATTTGAATTACCTCGTCTGGTATGCAGAACGTAGTGGGTTCGATCCCGACCCTGACGCCTGCATATTTGGAGTTTGCGTGTCTCTCTCTCCCCGTGGTCATGTGGATTTTTTCGCTGGGCCCTCCGTTTTTTCCATCCACACTTGGAAACATGCGTTTAGAATATTGGGTTGCTCTAAATGTCCACATGATAAGCCACTTGGTTGAGCTATCTTTTGTGGCCCAGTCGCTTTTGAAAAAGAGCTACATAGCTCAGTGGGCCTTACCTGGTAAAACAAAGAAAATGGTTTAGTTCGAGATGCATACTGTTCATCCCGTGTTTTATCGCCCTTTCGTTTTAATTTCCCCAATTGAGAAACGTACAAAATTAAAACCCCTTTTGTCTTTCAGGTTATCGCCCGATCCTGGATGCGATGAAGTCATTTGCGAAAGATGGGAAATCCCCATTGAGCCCGTCTTGCCTTGACATCGAGGTAAGAGCAAACCCTGCCGTGCCAAAGCGGCACAGGAGAAAACTCGTTTCTCCCAAATAGTTTTCCACCTTGCTCTCGCTGATCGCGTGGTGAGATAAAGAAACTGGCCAAGCGGTGCACCATTCCTTATCCGGGGGCAGAGCAGGCGTTGCAATTCAGTGCAGTTTATTTGGAAGTACCCTGTGAGCTGAGAAGCTCTTGAATCGGTTTTCATCAACAAAATCATCTGTGCCCTGGCAAACGTAACGTACATAGCAGGTCGCAAGAAATGTTGAAATAAAAAGAAATACAGAATCGAAATATTTCTTGACACTGGAGGAATCCGATGTCCAGTAGTTTTCACAGATGTCCAGAAAAAATGACAACAAATCACATAATGTAGAGTATATTACAAAAATACATATTTTAAATATTTTACTAAAGTGAGGCAGCAGGAGCTATCGCAGGTCTCAATTACAGAAGCGCTCTTCTCCCCTCCCGACACAGAACTGCCTGCCCCATTTAACACGTTCCTTCGGAGTGGGCAGGTAGAAACTTGGCTGGACAGCGCATTCGTGCACAACAGACAAATATGCACAACAGACAGACAAATAATCTCTGGTGGGCAGTGTGGAACCTGTTGTTCCTACCTGTAATATGAAGCTTATGCCTGACATGGAACACTGATTTAATTGCGTTGAAGAACTTTGGTCCCATCTCGTACAGAGCTGACCAAATTCTCCGGGTTAGAAGGTGCTCCAGAAAGTAAGGCGCGCCCCGAGATTTGTGGTCGTTTTGAAAAAAAAAAAGTCTTGTTATGTTTTATTTTTATTATTTTATTACTTCCCTTCTACGTGACTTTACCGAAAGAACCAAGAAGATGAATCCCTGCAGTCACGAAAGCTTAAAATCGATGATTTAGTTATTTATTTATTATTTCCCTTCTACGTGACTTTACCGAAAGAACCAAGAAGATGAATCCCTGCAGTCACGAAAGCTTCAAATCGAAATTTAAATCTTGCTTCATAATCGGGAGAATACGGTACAGCCCACGGCTCGACTTGCAACCGTCGTACAGGAACCCAATCAGTTCGTAGGTGCGGGGGTCGCCCGTACTTTGGAGAGCCATCTTCCTGAAGAACAGTGTGTTCTCTTGATCATAAGACTTCAGCCCCACATTTTTTCCTTAAAATACATGGTGGGGGTGTGGGGGGCGAGGATGTTTTATAATCGAGAGAATATTGCGTGTTTCATCCGATACAATATCCTTTCGTCATTTGCACCTTGGCTCTCACCTGCTGTCAAAAATGAGTTCACTTCACGCAAATTCCTCATCTCTCCACTGGCTCCCAATCCAATCCTCTACCAACTGCACGATCGCCCTCCCCGCCCTTCAAGAACTTCCAAGGACCCGCTCCTGGCCGCCCCTCTCCTCTGCGACTCTCTCCTCCACACTTGCACCCCATCAACCCATTCCTTCTGCCGCAGTAACCAACGCCTTCTGTTTTCATCCAGAGTCAACCTCGCCCGAATGAGAAGTCGCTTATTCGCTGCTATTGGCGTCAGGCCTAAAATTCCAGGCTGCGTGGCCGTCCACGCTTCGTGCCTTCATCCCCCTCTTCAAAATCCAGTCACAAGACCTTTTCCTTTGCCTGGCTGACTGTCCCTGAACCATGCTGCCCTCGTGACGTGAACTCACCCCATGTTTGTGCGGTGCTTTGAGACGCGGTCGCGTTCAGACGCTGCGTGCATCCAGTTCCTGTTGCCGCCGCAAGTAGTTTATTTTCGCCGATATAAATTTTCACTACTTTCACCATGTCGTATAAGCATCATGACATGCGCGCTGGATCTCCCGCTGCCAATATTTTCCATAGAGCACCGTATCGTATTCGAACGCACGTAGATGTAAATACTAACAGCTGTGGCATGTGGCAAGATGTACCGGCTGCGTTTATGGCTCTGCCATCGATTGCCTGCTGACTTGAGTCACGTGCATCTTGTATTTACCGAGGACATTATTATGTTATGTCGCACGTTCATCACTCATTAACTAACCATTAGCGGTCATAAGCGCTGACATTAGCGCTGACATTAGCGCTGATTTGTGCCTTGTTTTCCATTACAGGCTTTGTGTTGGTAAATCATTGGACGTGTTTTAGATGACTCTCTCAGGCAGTTTAATAGGGCTCACTCAGCCTAGGCCTAGACATCGCTCCGTCATGCTTGAAGAACTTTGGTTCCATCCCGTACAGAGCTTATCAAATTCTCCGGGTTATAAGAAGCTCCAGAAAGTAATAAAACCGTGGTTCTCCATTTGTCAGTCATTTCGTTTCATTAATAATGTTAGCCCTCAGACCAGGGATAGGTTGAAATAAGTTAAAGAGATATTTTTTTATTCAATCTGGAAAAAATCTAATTTTGCATGGAGATACGTGTTAAAATCTTCTCTGTCCTTTGCCAATATTTATTTGAATTGTGCTCATGGCATCATGTCAGGAGATGATGCATCCTCGTAGAATGCTTACACGGCAGTGGATGTTTTAGAGATCGGCCTGCAGATGGAGATATCATAGAACGACTACTGAAATGTTTCATAAGTTTTTGTTGTTTTTCTTTTTTCGAAATGCCTTTCAAGCAATAAAATACTTTTTCTATCCACTTTCCTGCACGCCCAAGCACTTTGTTATCCACGCCATAGGATTGTTGATTTTCCACCGCTGGCTCAGGGCTCTCAACGTGAAATTGAACAACCACAGGAAATAATTTTGACTTTGAGATAGTCTGAATCGACCCTCGCCGCAGCTCTGAGCTCACAACAAACCACAGCGCCACCCGGCCACATTTTTCACCATCGAGGGGCCTCCGTTCCCTCCCTCAGCTCGCCTCACGGCGCGCATGTGTGCAATTTGTACTTACGTACTTTATGCTTAAATAGCGATTTAAAGCTTTCGTGACTGCAGGGATTCATCTTCTTGCTTCTTTCGGTAAAGTCACGTAGAAGGGAAGTAATAAAATAAGAAAAATGAAACATAATAAAATAATTCTCACGACGTTTCGGCCACAATTCAAGCAGCCGTCCTCAGGTGAAACTTGCTCACTTTTTCTCCACCTTTGCACTCCCATCGTTGTTTTTTTGTTATTTCTTTGTTGTTCAAACGTGCTGGCCTGCCCCTGCTGGTGCATCTGTTAAAAAAAAGCGCTTCACAGCTCACCGGATTCCTCCAGGAGGAAGGAAAGAAAAGATTCCGAGCCTGAATTCACCGCTCTCGCCGCCACTTGTCCACACCGCGTGTCTCTCTCTCTCTTCCTCTCTCGGGCAGGACCTCAAGTTCTGCCCCAAGAATGGGCGGCCGTGCAGAGGCAACCACTCGTGCTCCTCGGGCGAAGCGACGGCCGCCGCCGCCGCCGCTGGCCCCGCTCATCTCTTTGCGGCTACCGACGTCAAGTGGTTCCGCCCCGTCTCGCTCACAGAGCTGCTTGTCGCCGTGGAGCGGCTGAGCGAGCAAAGCGTGAAGCTGGTGCGAGGAGACACGAGCAAGGGTGAGGGCCGAGGGAGGGGGAACGAATGGATTACGACCGGCGCAGTGGCAAGATGTTAACTACCTCGCCTGGTATACAGGAAGTCGTGGGTTCAATTCCGACCCTGACACCTGCTGTATATTTGGAGTTTGCATGTTTCTCTCCCCGCAGACATGTGGATCTTTCTCCGAGTCCACTTGTATTTTCCTCCACATTTATAAACATGCTGTTGAGAGTATATAAATGTTGCTATAAATTTCCACGTGGATAAACCACTTTGTTGAACTATCATTTGTGGCAACGTCACTTCTGAAAAAGAGCTGTACAGCTCAGTGGGCCTTACCTGGTAAAATAAAAATACTTAATAGTTTATAATTTCTGGTTTGATATTTTACCGAAAGCTGCCAGGCTGCCTTGGAGTAGGGATAACCGGCGCAGGGCACCGGCACTAGAGGACAAGGTGTCGCCTATCCATGATAATCCTATATCATACCGCATATTTGCGCTTCTGCGGCCTTCTGGAACACTCTTCCTTCCGATATTAGAAAAACACTGGGAGCTATGCACTTTTAAATCTAAATTGAAAACTAATTTCTTTAGAACTACTTTTTGTGTTGAGTTTGTAGTCCTTCCCCCGCACCTCCGATTAACACGGTTATGTTTATTAGGATCAGATTTTTGGTGGATCTTTTTTTTTTTGCTCATGGATCCTGGGACCCTTATTTGCCTCTCGGGGCGCTAAGCTTTTGCCGGGCGTGCTAATGCCGAGCGCCACCGCTGCTGTACATCTCCGCACGTGTGACAGGCGTCTACAAGACGGACGGACCCTTCCAGGCGTACGTCGATGTGAAGGGTGTGGCCGAGCTGTTCGCCGTGTCTCTCGAAGCCACGGGCCTGAGGGTGGGCTCATCCGTGAGCCTCAACAAGCTGATTGGCTCCCTGAGGGAGCATGCCGACCAATCGGAGTCCTTCGCAGCCGCCGCCGACCACCTGAGCAAAGTGGCCAATCAGTCTGTGCGAAACGTGAGCTGCGCAACATCGACGCTGCTTTGTCGTTTCTGACACAGGGAGATAACCGTACGGTTGGATCTGACTAACGAAAGACAAGATAACCATACGTTGGGTCTGAGACATAGGAGACATGATAACTGTACGGTTGAGTCTGAGACACGGGAGACAAGATAGACACTATAACTGTACGTTGGGTCTGAGACACGGGAGGCACGTAAGACACGAGAGACACGGGTCTGAGACACGGGCCTGAGACACGAGAGACACACTTTGACCTGACGTCATTTCCACCAGGCCGGCGGCTGGGCCGGCAACTTGATGATGAAGCACGCTCACCGCGACTTCGTCTCGGACGTCTTCGTCGTCCTGGAAGCGGCGGGCGCCAAAATCCGCATCAGCGACGTGTCCGGCGAGGTCTACCTGGACCTCGTGCAGTTCCTCAGCAAGGACATGAAGGGCAAGGTCGGTCATCTCTCAAGGCAGCGCCTCGCAGCCGTGCTCTCCGTTAGGCGGCCACGTAGATGCCTCGGGATTGGTCACGCAGTGCGCGCGTTGGTGTCGGCGTTGCCGTATTGCCACACTTGGTCTCCGCCGAGTCACCGGCCGCCCTCGCCATCGCAGACGTTCGCTGCCGTGGGCACCCGTGACTCGATGCCTCGCGGCACCCGAGCTGCATTTGCAGCTGGACCTGTGTTTAGTATGGCTCGTGTTCATAGCGTATTCTCCGTATTAGGAATTGATCATGGCTGAAGATGTGTTGTTGCTCTGGAGACCGGTCCACATTAAACCGCATCCACTGCACAAACCATGGCAGACGCGGATGCCTGATGCACAAATGTAAAATTAACAACTTTATAGTGCGCGACTGTGGTCATCCAGAACAGACCGTACAACAACGAAGCAATGCCCGATTCACAAATACGAAGGGGACGTCACAGCGATGATGATACACTCCGCTGCTCCTAACGCGCTTGTCTGGGCTTGATCACCTGAATGTGAAATTGTCGTCGTTGCTCTGCATCTATATCAGCCGATGATGATGATGATTGTGGATCTGGCTGGGTAGTGCAGTTGTTAGAGCGTGCAGTTCACAATCAGAAGATTGTAAGTTCATATCCAAGTCAGGAGTCAACTCAGCCATACACCAATCCAGGGTTGATAAAGTGAGTCTTCTGGATTTAATCCCATCTGTTGCAGGAATGAGGAATTTAGGGTTGTTGGGAAGAGGAGAGCGCCACCGTGCATTCGTTTGAATTGGAACCTACTCATGTCAGTCGATTATTGAATTTTAATTAACGTCACAATGTCTCGCTGTTCAAACGAGCACTGGGTGTGACGCTCATTTCCAGCTGTTGGCTCGGGTTTGGCGGTTGGATATCCCACGTTTCAAACGATAGGGGCGAGTTTCTCCACACGACAACCACTGCTGACACTTCTTACAAGATCAGAATCATAATATTTATTCTGGAGGAATCTGTTGAGCTATAAAGCTCTTTTTGACGGATGTCCAGTCGGGGCGGGTAAGAACGTTACAACAACAAACAGTACACAAACATGATAGGAGTGCGAAGTACAGGAGCGGTAAACAAGTCACCCACACACATACAAATAAAACTAAACCATCCCCGTCCTACCAGGCAAACCCTACTTAGGTATTAACTTGTTTTTCAGAAGCGACCTGGACACAAATGATATATCAGCAAAGTGGCCCATCGTTTGGGTGATGGTACCTCTACTGTATTTTAGCAACCCCGGTGGGATGATGAGTTGAGTCGACCCTAAACCGCGATTTGAGCTGGGGAATCTGCTGAATTGTGAGTCGTGCGCAGTGACCTCGAATAACCCCGCCTGTCGCTGGCCCGATGCGTGCGTGTGCCTGCACTGCATGTTCTGCTGTGTCAAATGAGACGCGTGCTCTCATTTTCGCAGGCATTCTTGAGCTAAATGTGGGGTGAAAGGAGCCGCTCAAGAAATGTAATTGAGCAATTTGGTGTCAGAGCTGGAATTAATTGAATGTCTCAATCGCTTGTTTGATTAATGTTTTGTCCTCCGTGACGCTGGCGGGTCACATTTGCATCGTTGAGCTGGCCTTTAGATTCATTGCAGCTGGCATTGCACTACCAACTTTGCGTGTGCTTTGTCACTGTGTGTATATAACCTGCTTCCGGAAATATCAAACGTTCAACACGTTCTTACAAGATAAAGCCCTAAAAGGAAAAAAAGGACGTATATATTGTTCTACATAATTGTATAATGAGCAACGTTTGAGGCATTTCCCGTTCTTCATAGCACATAAATGGATCCATATATATATAGTATGAAGTATAATATAATATTTGTGCTGTAAAGAAGGGCCAACGGTGCAAGTTTCTAAAATCCCTCTCACTACCTCTGTCCACCCAGCAGACTACACCACAGTCGATCAGCAGGTCACATATGGTGGGGTAAAGTGTGGGTAACGCCCACCATCTTCGAAGACGTATTGGCCCAATATCCTCTTAAGAGGCCCTTCCTTGAGCAAGTAACATCATCAACCACAACAACAACAAACCGCCACCTTCACCACTAAGTGGCGGTGACGTCACCACGGCGCTTGTGCCGGGCTAGGTGCACGTGAAGTGCCAAATGCTCGCTTGCAGGAGGTCGCAGGACAGAGCCAGGTGTTGTTGGGTTGACTGCGCAAGTCAATGCCGGGCGGGCTGTACCGTCGAAACGAAAAAACTAACCTCAATTTTTCTTGTTTTACATAGAATACGTTCATGACCGGAGCCACGCCATGCGAGAGCAGTTGAGAGAGCACGTCAATGTGCATTCGCATCCCCAAACGGCCGAAAGCGTCTGTTGATGATTGACAGTGTCCGTGTGGTGTGGTGTGCTGATTGATTCCATAGGTCATTGTCAGCATGGAAATTCCAAAGCTCACCCCGGGAGAAGTTTTCAAGTCGTTTAAAGTTATGATGAGAGCACAGGTGAGTAAACAGTTCACGCAAACCGGACTTTGCACAAGCCTGGCCATCTGCTGGTATTGTGAGAGGCACTTGTGTGTTGGTAATTTCGATGCATGTAACAATTTGTCCCCATACTATTCAGGAATTGATTTGTACAGTAAAACCTTGGATTGCGAGTAACTTGTTCTGCGAGTGTTTTGCAAGACGAGCATTTTTTTAAAATTAATATTAATTTGATAAACGAGCGAGGTCTTGCAATACGAGTAGTACGCGTATACGCTTTGTCTGCCGAGCGTCACGTGATCACAACTGATATACGAGTGCTTTGGATTACAAACACCTTTCCGGAACGAATTATGCTCGCAATCCAAGGTTTTACTGTACTTTGTCTTGTTTATACTCCCTCGTTTGTGATATCTGTCAAGTTGGCCCCTGCTGAGATCCTGAGATCAGAATCAGAATCTTTATTTAGATGGGATGAATGCTATGGGTTGTTCTGTCATAAAATCCCATCATTTGATATTTCTTTTTGCACTTAATTTGGGCAAAATGTCAGCCATGAAAATGATAGCTATCGGTCTGGCGACTGTTGTGCAACAAACATTAGCTGCACCTCCGATTAGCACGGTTGCCTACGTACTGGTGCGAAAGAAGTTCAACATTCACACACACACACGCATGCATGCCCTGTGTAACAGGGCAGGCGGGAAAGTGCAGCCACGTGGTGTGAACAAGAAGCCACTCGGAAGAGATTTCAGCAGCGGTTCTGTGATATCTTCTTCTGCGGGCCGTTCCCTTACGCGGGGTGATGCGCTCCTCTGGGAGCGTTTTGAATGGATCCTTTGTGTCATGGCATTCCACCGTTAGAACAATCAGGATAAAGAAAAGAAAAAACTGAACTGTGAAGATTGTGCCATTGCATAGAGTACAGTCATTTTAAACTGTTGATGTTGTATAATCTGAAACGTTTTTATCACTTAAGTATAACATCAGGTACTGTTGCTCAATCAGCCTCAATTGTAATTTCAAGAGAGACAAACGATGCCACGTGCTGGCCTTGTGCACGCATTTCCCTTTGACACAGCTGGAGAATTGGCTCCTGTGAGAGCGCTCAGGTCAAGTTTATTTGTCTAACCAGGTGAGAGAGTACTTCTAGATTTGAAGCTTTCGTGACTGCAAGGATTCATACTCTTAGGTTTTTTCGGTAAAGTCACGTAGGTAAAAAAATAAAATTAAAATTAATAAAAGTAAAATAAAAAATCACGACGTTTCGGAGGCAACACAAGCTTCCGTCTTCAGGTGGAACCGTCACAGCACGATAGCTGTATCAAGTATCAAGTACAGCAATCGTGCTGTAACGGTTCCACCTGAAGACGGAAGCTTGTGTTGCCTCCGAAACGTCGTGATTTTTTATTTTACTTTTATTAATTTTATTTTTTACCTATGTGACTTTACCGAAAAAACCTAAGAGTATGAGAGAGTACTCTTTGGTTTTTTCGGTAAAATCACGTAGGTAAAAAATAAAATAAAATAAATGAAAACAACTCGCTTTCGCTACGTTGTCCCCACCTGAAGAAGGACGCTTGTGTTGCGCCCGAAACGTGATTTAATTCAGTTGTTTTCATTTATTTTATTTTTTACCTACGCGACTTTGCCGAAAAAACCAAAGAGTAGGAATCCTTGCAGTCACGAAAGCTTCAAATCTAGAATCAGGTGAGAGAGCTCCACTGGAAGTTGGGAGTTCAATTCACAGTCAGGGTTCAACTCAGCCCATTGTCCCCTGGACTCTCTGTAAATGAGTACCGCATTTTGGGAATTCATCACTGGTCATTCCTATGAAGTGTTGGGAATGTGCAGTGTCTATTATTCAACCGGGGCTACCATTTCCTCTATCGTCAACAACGCATGTTGTCCATGTGATCATACAGGTGTCTTTCGATTTAAAGCTTTCGTAACTGCAGGGATTCATCTTCTTGGTTCTTTCGGTAAAGTCTGTCATTCAGACGCTGTCTTTCCGACAGACCTGTTCTTCACCTGAGGACGGCTGCTTGCGTTGTGGCCGAAACGTCGTGAGAATTATTTTATTATGTTTTATTTTTATTATTTTATTATTTCCCTTCTACGTGACTTTACCAAAAGAACCAAGAAGATACAGGTGTCTGGTCACTCAGCGTGCTGATCGTACCACATGTGTGTCACCGCTCCCAGTTGACGGTTTCCCGATTGCCGCGCGCCACAGAACGCGCACGCGTACGTGAGCGCGGGATTCCGCGCGAAGATCGACGCCGGCGACGGGGGAGAGCGCGTGGTGACGGCGGCGTCCCTCGTGTACGGCGGCGTCGCTCCGGGGTTCGTGCACGCAGAGCGGGCCGAGCGCTTCCTCCTCGGCAAGGACGTGACCTCGGCGGCCACGCTGCAAGGTCGGAGACAGTCGCGCGCAGCCTCACGCGGCGACACACTGGCACGCGCGCACACAAGGGCACGCTCCAGTGGCTTCCTAATGTCGGAGAAGCCGCATCTGTGAGCGCGCAGTTGCACGCTTCTGGGTTTAAATTCTTGGCGTAGGTCGCCGGATGTCTGTCAGGGCCAGTGCTGACCATTACCTCGGGGCTTCGTGGTCTCCAGGTGTCCTGTTGGAGCTGGCGGATGAGCTGACGCCAAACAGTGATCCTGTGGCCGCGAGTCCCGAATACCGCAAGTCCCTGGCGCTGTCTCTCTTCTACAAGGTGCCATGACGAAGTCATCATCATCATCCATCATCATTCATCCATCATCCATCATCATCCATCATCATCCATCATCATCATCCATCATAACCGACCATCCATCATCTATCATCATCATCATCATCCATTATCATCATCATCCATCATCCATCATCATCATCCATCATCATCATCGACCATCATTCATCATCATCCATCATCATCACCGACCATCATCCATTATCATCACCGACCATCCATCATCATCAATGATATAGGATTATTATGGATAGGAGTACCCTGTACTGTAGTGGTAGTGCCTTATACCGGTAATCCCTTGCCCAAAGCAGCTGAGTAGTATTCCGGAAAATATCGAGTAATGAAATTAAAATCCAGTGTATGAGTTTGTGTATTTGTGTATGCGTGTGTGTGTGTCTGGCGAGCGGTGGTGCAGCGGTTAGCATGCTATATTACGAACCCGGCGGCCCGAGTTCGATTCCCGCTCACGGCCAACACCAGTGACGAACAATTATTTTAACCGGTCCTGGGCCTCCCTGAGTGCAGCTCAGCCTCAAATGAGTACCTGGTGCGGCGTGTAAAAACATCGCCACTGGGAAGATAAAGGCGGCCGGGCATGCTGCGAGCCACCCACCCCACCCCCTCACCTGCAGTGCCGGCCTTCATAGGCTTTACTCGCTAACAGCACTTGCCCCAAAAGTCTGTTAAGGCTACATGGTGATGGGGGGGGGAATCTTTGTCTTTGTTATTCATATTCTTAAGTTTTTTCGGTAAAGTCACGTAGGTAAAACATTAAAATTAATAAAAGTAAAATAAAATAAAAATCACGACGTTTCGGAGGCAACACAAGCTTCCGTCTTCAGGTGAAACCGTCACAGCCACGACAGCTGTATCAAGTAAATGAGAGATTGCAAGAGCTACCACTCCGTTTATATAATGGTTGGAGAGGGGGGAAGGGCCAAGTACGGCACACTTTTTATTCATATGGTAAGGTGAGGCTTAAGAGGGTGAGCTTTTGTTATGGAGAGGTACGGTTTGTGACTAAGCCTGGCCTACATAACAATAGTGTGAAAAAAGAAACAACTAAACATGGTTAAACAAGCCTGGCTGTCTATCTTTGTTGTGCGCGCGTTGGGGCAGTTCTACCTGAGCATCGCGGGCGACGACGCCGTGTCGCCGAGGAACCGCAGCGCGTGCCACGGGCTGGGACGGGCGGTGTCGAGCGGCGAGCAGACGTACGACACGCAGCCCGCCGACTACCCCCTCACGCAGCCCATCGCCAAGCTGGAGTCCTCGCTGCAGGTAGCCGTGCGGGGGAGAGTGGGTGGTGGTCCAGGGAGTGTGTTGGTGGTGGTGGTGCAGGGTGAGTGGGGTGGTGGTGCAGGGCCAGTGGGGTGGTGGTGCAGGGTGAGTGGTGGTGGTGGTGGTGGAGGGAGAGTGGTGGTGGTGCAGGGTGAGTGGTGTGGTGGTGCACGGAGTGTGGTGTGGTGGTGGTGCAGGGAGTGTGGTGTGGTGGTGGTGGTGCAGGGAATGTGGTGTAGTTGTGCACGTACCGCACGCACCGCACGCACTGCACGGAGTGATCGACCGCGTCAACCTGTCATTGACGAGTGTGTTTAGCGCTTTCAATAAGATATCATTAATACGTCTTGTCACCGATATATTGTCACTGCGTGTTATTTCTCACGCCTTTTTCTTACTTTTATTGTAATTTGTTGTCTTTATTCTGTACAACGCTCTGAAACCTCTTTGTGGTCTTTTTGCGCTACGTACATTTTTAAAATAAATACAAATAAATTCGGGGTCCTCGCCTCGGTGATCGGCTCCAGAACTCGTCGCATTCGCCAATAGCCCCGTGCGTGCGCACGTGTGTGTGTGCCATTTAGCCTCAAATGAGTACCTGGCGTGGTGTGTAGATATTGCCACCAGGGAGACATGCTGGACACCCACCCCCTCTTGTTCCGTGTTGGCCTTCATAGGTGCTTCCCCTACAGCAACTTGCCCCAACAATTCTGTCATGCGGTATATGTTTGTTTGTTGAACTTCTTTCGCGACGTACGTAGCCAACTGTGCTAATCGGAGGTGCGGGGGAAGGACGACGAACTAAACGTAAAAAGCAGTTCTAACGAAGTGGGTTTTCAATATAGACGACTTAAAAGTTGAGTAGCTCCAGTGGCTTCATTAATATCGGAAGGAAGAACATTCCAGATGGTCGCGGAAGCGCATCAGAAAGCGCATCAAGCTCAGGACGTATTTACAATTTCTGAAGATGTACGCAAGCGATGTGCGATTGTTTACACCGAAGCTAGCGGAGCGAACCGAGCTGTGCAAATGACCCATCACGAATGAGAAGCGGTAGAAACGAGACGGCAAAAAAACGAGACAGAAACGGAGGGATTGTTGGATTGAACCCTGACCCCAGATCGTGATAACTCGTCAAGTTGCTGCCAGAGGGGGCAGTGCAGCAGTGTCCTGAGTTGGAACACAATTGGCGGTACAAAATATCGTCAACGTCGGTGAAGAAACACTGGGGGCGTAGAAACCTTGTCAGTGCAATGCACACAAAAAGTCGACAGAGGGCGCCAGTGTGTCAGGCAGCGACACAGCCTGGATGTTTGTTGAACTTCGAAAAATGTTTTTCTTTCTCAACCCTCCGTAGCCAACCGTTGCTGATCGGAGGTGCAGCCGCGGTTTGATGGGGTGACACAGGGTGACTTAAGCGTCGTGGGTGATGCCCATCTTACTGAGGGCACTGGGATCACACGTTCGACAGCGTACTGGGCGCATGGCTGACAATGCCACCGTGTATTCATCTGAAACAAAAACATTTCGAGCAGGACTCAGTTTTGCCCACTTTCCTTCAAGCAAATTCAAGTTTTGGCGAACAGCCTGCTACGTCATCACCGGTTCTTCGCCCCGTGCGTTGAGCTCGGCAGGATTGTTAAAGGACAAAGTGTCGCAGGGTTAGGGTTAGACTTTGTACGAATGAAGCCAAATTAGGCGCACGGTCGTCGATTTACTCAGTTTGAATGGGTATTTTAGTTTGGAAAAATCTTACACTCAAAAATGTTAATTTACGGCTAGCAATCCACTGCTGCATCCAGTGCCATGTTTCACCGCACTGATTATTGCGGGTTGTTGCTGGAACACCTGAGCCCGGTTTAGGTATCACTCGCCACTGGTGTTCGCTGTGGGTCGAGAATCCAAGTCGGGTTTCTGGGCTCACAGTGGCGGTGTGCTCCTCTTCACCGTAATCCTTTATTTACCCAGGAGAGCCTCACGGAGCCTTGAGGTTCTTACGGTATCGGGATTATTTGGCCATTTACCTAATGGGTTTTCTCCATGCTAGGAGGCCGAAATCGTTGAGAGCAATCCAAAGCGTAAGAGGGAATGTAACTCTTTAGATGTCTCGATTTAAAGCTTTCGTGACTGCAGGGATTCATCTTCTTGGTTCTTTCGGTAAAGTCACGTAGAATGGAAATAATAAAATAATAAAAATAAAACATAATAAAATAATTCTCACGACGTTTCGGCCACAACGCAAGCAGCCGTCCTCAGGTGAAGAACAGGTCTGTCATTCAGCCGTCCTCAGGTGAAGAACAGGTCTGTCATTCAGCCGTCCTCAGGTGAAGAACAGGTCTGTCATTCAGACTCTGTCTTCTCGACAGACCTGTTCTTCACCTGAGGACGGCTGCTTGCGTTGCGGCCGAAACGTCGTGAGCATTATTTTATTATGTTTTATTTTTATTATTTACATTCTACGTGACTTTACCGAAAGAACCAAGAAGATCTTTAGATGTCCACGAGGAACCAGTTTTTTCCTGCGCTGGAATCTTCTGGCCAAACCACATCGCAGCAAGCGCTTCAACGTTACGTCGGATAACATGACAACCCACAGCCAATGTACTTATCTATGAGATAATCATTTTTTTTTTTTACTTATGTCTATTAAACAAAATCCTGGCGTTTTATAGCTTTTCTAGTCAATCAATTGCAATTTCAATAATGAACGCCACACTTAATTTGCTGATTTTGGACGTTTCGTCAGCACGCTCCCTAATATAGCCGGGTGGTGGACTTTGCCTTTAAATCCTGGTCAGGTTCGGCTCGGCTCATCATCTCTATTGAGCTACAAAAATGAGTACCACTTAGTGGGAAGTCTATGGCGATTGTACAATGGAGAGACTGGCCCCCGCCATTGGAAGTGTGGAATTTCCATCCCTAGCAACAGGGCTACCTAAGAGAGATAACACTGGTCAACAAAAAAAAAAATTTCTGGCCTGGACTTTTGCAGGGTGCTGATTCCAAATCTGATCTCAGATTTGCTTTATCACATCTCATTTTTATGCTATCGGCATACTCCATTTTCATTGATTTTACCCGAAATTAACTCTTGTCACTTATGATTGCAAGTTGTTGCGAGTCAGTGACTGCTTTAGTGTTAAAATATGGTGCTGTATTTTTAGGATAGTGTGTTTATAATATAATTTTATATAGATATCCACATTTATTTTATATTTTTCTTCTGCAGTTTTAATTGAAAATGCAATATTTGATATCTCAAAAACCTGATGTGATAGACACAAACTGATGCCAGATTTGGAATCAGCACCCCAAAATTACCTTATAACCGTTGGAATACCTAATGCCAGAAAAAGTGTGTTGACCAGTGTAATCAACTTAAACGATTTAACCATGAAAGATAAGAGGGATTTTAATTTGGACGTTTCTCGATGTAAACATTCAAACGACAGGGCGATAGGACACAGGACGAACAGTGCACATCTCTGATTTTTCTTTTATCTACCATGTAAGGCACCACTGAGCTACACAGCCCTTTTTCAGAAGCGACCTGGCCACAAATGATAGCCCAACGAGAAGTGGCTTATCACGTGGAAATGTATAGCAGCCAAATACCCCAAACGCGCGTTTCTAAATGTGGAGGGAAAAACCGGAGAACATGAAGAAAAATCTACGCGACCACGGGGAGAACATGCAAGCTCCAAACATACAGGCCTCAACATCTCAACTCTCAATTGAACAGATTGGACACTTTGACTACACTTGACTCTATACATAAACAAACAAGCCCTAGCAACCGTGTGTTTTTGCAGCTTGCTGTCATGCACTCTTCTCAGGCAGTAGTGGAAACACACACATTGCTGCAAATACAGACCCATTGCTAATGTGTTCCTAGTGTTCCCAGCCCTTTGGAAGAAGGGGGTACAAAATAAAAATGACTGACCTCACGGTTACAGGGGGCATTAATTTCTGGCAGACATCAGTCACTTAGTTGCAGCAGGCCCGCGTTTTCTTAGAGTTCACGATTGCCGAGGGTGGAAGTGTGAAGACAGCTGTGTCCTGTCGTTTATGTTCAGTGGATTTTATTATTTTTATTTAGCGTTTTTGCGAGCAAGGCACGGGGGTTTGGGAGCCTCTGAAACAAAATGAAAAAAAAACTTAAACGGCTTCCATCTGTGAACTCCCTGCGCCTGCGACATTAGGTGGGAAAATCTTTATTTTTATTTTTCTCCTCCTCCTCCACTCCCTATTCCTCTCTTGTCGATTGCAACAAGAACAAAACATATTCGCCATCCAGCCCCCACAAGCCCATCCCCGTGCAGCTCCTGAGAAAGCCCTCCTAGTTTCCTGACGGAGGGGCTGGGGGGGTATGCTGCGCGTAGGAAACCTTGGACGCGTTGGAGGACGTGTTCAAGGAATAATTTGCGTTGCCAAATCGATTTAGCGTTTAGATGTAACACGCTCGCCCGCCAGTTAAAAAAAAAACCCGAACCCCACTTTTCCACACTGTCCGCAGCAAGTTATTGGTGGTGGAGGTCCGTGGGTGAGGTTTGACGTCTTGACTATGTAGCCATGAATCATGCCCCCCTTTAAAGAACCGAGCGCCTTAATTGGAAACACGTATTGCTAGTCATTGGAGCCCGCCTCTCGGCGTGGAGGTGTTTAGACAGCTCTGTGCGTGAGCCCTCGCGCGGCAAGAGCTGGGTTAGATTCATAGTCAGGGTTAGTTGAAGCTCGGTTTCTCTTCGCTAGTTCCTTCTTTAGCGGGGGGGGGGGGGTCACGTTAATTTCTCATTCTGAATGTCATTTCAGTCACAGTGTTGCGTGCGCACGTGTTAGAAGGAGTTCGGGTTGCAGCAGAAGGCGGATTTAATTAGGTCTAGCGATCCCACAGAGTGCCGTCTCTACTTAATAAAAAAAAAGTTTGAAGACAAGCAGATTTTCCAGCCACTTACTCCACTAGTTCTCTCAGGATATTTCACGCTTTTTTTTTTAACGGG